TTATATTGACTGAATATGTCCTGCTAATGCTCTTGTAAATAATATACAGGTGTGTTTCCATTGATCATATAATTGTGCGTATTGGAACTACAACAAACAAAAATTACCAAATTGAAACATCATTTAGAAAAAAACATGTTTGATTAATTTTTTGCATTGGGTTGAGTTGGTTTTCTAACTGTATAAATCAGTATATTTCACAAAACTACAACAGAAACACATTTTTCGCATCACGTGTCACGTGATCAACAACTGGATGTTACTACTGGCAGAAATAACAAAGAAGATGACAGGAAGTATTAGAGAATGATGCTGCTGCAAAGTTGTTGTTTTTTTAAGTTTCTGATAAATCCTTTATTGTCACCAGCTAAATATCATATTTATTGTTCCAGGTAGGGAAAGCCATGCCTTGCTGCATTTTACAATGAATTTAAATTTTATATCAAAGACTCTGACAAAAAGTGTCTATAAAGACAATTTAAATCTGAACTGCTTTGAATGTATAGTTGGAACTGAAGGCCCTTAGCTTTTTTTTTAAATACTGTTTATCTGAATTTGTTTTTCTTGAGGCATAAAAAATGTTTTCGCTCTGTCGTTATACAGTGTGTCTGGGAATAAAGTTTTAAAAAAAAAAAACATCCCTTGTGGCTTTGATGTGAAACTGTGATGTCACTCATCCTGTCTGTGATGTCATTGGTGACTGTCTCTATATTCCAAGAGATTCGACAGAGAAATTCATTTGCGATTTCAGGACATTTGATAAACAGAACAGCAATGGAGCAGAAGAATTTGTGTTTCGAAACTGTGGAGATCTTGGAGCGACGGTGTGAAGAGTTTTGAAGAGTTTGAGGATATTATCCCCTCAAGAATCACTGGAGAAACTCAATTTAAAACTCCAAAATCTGAATGGAAGAGACTCCACCATGAATAATCTGGAGAGAGAAAATCAATTGCTGAGAGACAACGCGGATGAAAGTGAACGACGAATCCTGGCACTGACTGAAGAATTGGAGAATTCAAGAGCAAAAATTGAAACATTAAAAAGAGAGTATAGAGACATTGCAATCGAGAATCAACGGCTGGAAAAAACCAATGCGTCAATCAGGCAACAGGCCAACAATGCATTGCAAAACAAGAATAGAGATCGCCGCTGGCTTGAGACAGAAAACGAGGAACTAAACAAAGAAATAGTTACCTTAAAATTAAAGATGGAGAAAATAAAATCAAGAAAAGAGGGAGCAAAAATCCAGAGAACTGAAAAGACGCAGGAAGAAGACATGGTGCCGGAGGAGACAAACCCAACGATGCTGAGGAGAGTTGGGCATGTTTTTGTCTCAATGTATAAACAGGGGACATTAAGATACTGGGTTCCCTCGTGGATATTTTAATAATGCTAAAAATCCACAATTTAAAATAAAAAAAAAATAAGCACAACCATCTGGACAAAAACATGCCCAACTCTCCTCAGCATTGTTGGTTCGGGGTCTCTTCCAGAGAGCGGGTCTGAAGTGAAGCAGCTCTCGGCCAGGATGAGGATCAGTGCCTCCAAATCCGAGGCCATGGTCCCGAGCCGGAAAAGGGTAGAGAGCCTTTTACCGGGTCGAGGCCAGTGTCCTGCCCCAAGTGGAGGAGTTCAAGTATCTCTGGATCTTGTTCACTAATGAGGGAAGAAGGAAGCGGGAGATCGACAGGCGGATCGGCACAGCATCTGCTGTGAAGCGGGCGCTGTACCGGTCCGCCGTGGTGAAGAGAGAGCTGAGCCAAACAGCGAAGCTCTTCATTTACCGGCCGATCTCTGTTCCCGCCCTCATTTGGAAGAACGAGATCCCGGATACAAGCGGCCGAAATGGGTTTCCTCTGCAGGGTGGCTGGGCTCTCCCTTAGAGACAGGTGAGAAGCTCGGTCACCCGGGATGGACCCAGACTAGAGCCGCTGCTCCTTCACAGCCACTTGAGACTCTGGTCGGGATGTCTCATGGACGTCTATGAGGTCCTTCACCAGGGTGCCAGGGAGCCTCAGGGAAGACCCAGGACACGCTGGATTAGCGACAGACGATCGTTGGACGTATGGACGGACGGACGGACTGACAGATGGGCGGACGGACGAACGGATGAATGGACGGGCGGGCGGATGGATGGATGGGCGGACGGACGGACGAACGGATGGCTGGATGGGCGGGCGGATGGATGAACAGATGGACGGACGGATGGATGGACGGACGGATGGATGGACGGATGAATGATAATTAAATGCTACTGCCTCTCCGCGCCTTGTCGAGAGTCTATGCGACAGGACCAGCAGCGACAGAAACATGAACAGTGGAGGGAGATGCGCATTTTCAGTTCGGCTCCAAACGTCCGATCATTAAAAGCGGCTTTGTGCTATTTTTTGTTGTTGTTTTTTTTAAGTCGCTTGCAGATGTACTGAGTCGTGGGTTGCGGTTTTGGGTCTGGTTAAAATCCTATTTATAGTTTTCCAGACTATAGAAACACAAAAACATGCAGAAATGACTAAAGTATTTTTTTTTGTTTTCCTTTGATGTTGTTTAATTGTTACTGTGGTAACTATGGTTACTGTGGTTACTGTGGTAACTGTGGTTACTGTGGTAACTATGGTTACTGTGGTTACTGTGGTAACTATGGTTACTGTGGTTACTGTGGTAACCATTAAACTATCTCCCCTTCAGTTATGACAAGTTAATAACTTGTTAAGTATTGGCAAAGATCAATATGATTTTCACAGCGTTGTTGTTGTTAGCAGCTGCTGAAAGTAATTAAAATAGTTACTGTTTATGTCACTTAGTTACTTTCCAAATGAAGGAGTCAGTAATCTAAGTTACTATTTGAAAGAGTAATCAGTAATCTGATAATGCAATCACTGCCTGTGTGTCCATAGTTTGGCTGTAATGAAAGAAAATAATCTATGAAACGCACAGACAAGAACATCATAGAGCAAAACTATAATGGAGTTTCAGTTTACTACATATATATATTGTACATTATACATATATATTATACATATTATAATATGTTATAATATATATATGTATATATATATATATACATATATATATATATATAATTATATATATATATATATATATATATATAATATATATATATATATATGTATATATACACACCTATATATATATATATATGTATGTATATAGATATATACATATATATAGATATATATATGTATATATCTATATATATGTTTATATAGATATAGATATATACTGCTCAAAAAAATAAAGGGAACACTCAAACAACACAATATAACTCCAAGTAAATCAAACTTCTGTGAAATCAAACTGTCCACTTAGAAAGCAACACTGATTGACAATCAATATCACCTGCTGTTGTGAAAATTGAATAAACAGGTGGAAATTATTTTCATATTTATTTCATTCATTCAGATCTAGGATGTGTTATTTGAGTGTTCCCTTTATTTTTTGAGCAGTGTATATATAGATATATATCTATTTATATATATATGTTATAACATATTATATGATAATATGTATAATATAAAGCTATACGACTTTGAATGGTTGCCATGGGAGATTCAAGTATTTCTCAAACATGCATGAAAGAGTTAAGGCAACACTCCAGGTATGTTTTTGATGAGGGAATAGTACAAAACCAGTATATAAAGCTCAAATAGTCATTCATTCAACAAGATGTCTGCAATATTGCAGAGATTTTGGTCTGACAGCATTATGCAGCCACTGCAGAGTTTACATTTGTTTGGGTCAGACATATTTAGAGCACAACTCAGACTAGATTTTGTCTCATAAATCCAAAGAACTGAGACCATTTTGACTTTTCTTGTTTTTAGTTTCGTCGCTTCCCTGTTTCCTTTGAACCATTGCAAAGTAAATGTATCAGGACTCCAGATCAGTTTTCTCATCAGAGACTGCAGAGCAAAATCTTTTTTGATATAAAGTTTTTCTTTTAAGTAATCTGTAGTATAGGCGACAGAATAAAATTAACTCATTAGTGTGTGTCCATGTGTATCCCTTTATTGGGATGAGTAGAGGGTGTGTGTGTGTGTGTGTGTGTGTGTGTGTGTGTGTGTGTGTGTGTGTGTGTGTGTGTGTGTGTGTGTGTGTGTGTGCGTGCGTGCGTGTGTGTGAGTGGGTGATTGGGGGGTGGGCGATATGTCAACATCTCGAGGGATCTTTTGATCCAGATTCTTCAATCTTCACTTACACACAGACATTTCAACTATTAATACTTCTCCTCTGATCTCTTTGCTTTTGCTGTGCCTTACGGCCACAACATCTCTCCATCTCAAATAGGAAATGTCTTAAAAAGGATCTGAGCTACAGTCTTAAAGTGTTGGCAAAGCGGAGAGACAAAGGAAGGATTTTCCGTGAAAGACGTGGATTTGGAGAGAGTCATATTATCAGCATGTGGCAGTAAATGAGGTACACAGGCATAGAAAGACGCATCATGTCAAATCAAAAGCCATTAATGCAACAAGTCAGGGATGCCAAGCTTTGTGGCAGCCCCACCAGGAATAGCTGACAGCCTCCTTTACAGGGTCAGACAGCAATACTACAACATTACACAAGGTGGCAGCAAACAGAGAGAGTTTTCTTTGACCATTAATGACAATGTCTATATTTTTTCAGAGTTCTTGGTCCGGCTTCATGCTCTCTTCTCTAATGCACCTTTCCACTAAGTCATCCTTTGTTATAGTCCAGATGCATCTGGACTCTCACAAACACACACAGATTTCTAGTTAGAGGTCACAGTGGAGTTGATCAAACTAAACATGGTAACATTTGTAATTGTGGGACAGAAAACACTTGTTTTTTTCTGGGACTCCATCCAAACGCCTTGTTGCCTCTCCTGGCCATAGTTCATTAACAGTGACCTTTGGGCATTTCATAACTCCTTTATCATCCTGCTCGTGGTGCATGTTGACAAGATAAACGTGGGTTCGCATCCAGCTTTTTTGTCACAGTTCCACGTGTTTAAAACTTTCTGACGTGTGGTAAAACAAGGCAACTCGCTGTTTCTTTGTCGCTATGGTCTGACTTATGACAATCAATACACACCAGCCTAACTTCAATAGCAGGTTCTCTCATTTTTGCCAATTTCAGTAGCAGGTAAGTGAAATCATCTCATTTGTCATATCATGTTTGTACCCGAGGGAAATGGAAATTTGTTGACTGTGATCAACAGGTAAAACTAAATTATAAGTTTAGAATTCAGAATTCTGGCTTGGTTAAATAAATGCAGCTCAGAGGAGGAGCTTTGTGGAAATAGGCGAATCTCTGTGAGGGGCAAACATTAAGCACCCACGAATGGTTGCCACAGGAGATTCAGGGAGTCTTCAAAGATGCATGGATGAGTTGCAGCAACACTCTGAGCATGTTTTTAATGATGGAATGGCATTATGACCTGATATAAAGATCAAAAAAGTCAATTTTACATAACAATCCTTCATTAATTCATCTTTTTTTTGTCACTATGAATAACATTCACTGTTCTTTATTTTCCATTTATGGATGAAATCTAACCTACGGTTCAGACACATTGAAATTCTTATCCATAATTGTCTTAGTAAGCTGTTACGGAAAGAAAATAGTACAAAATGTACAAAAAGTATAAAATTGCTCAACAAGAGCATGAAATATGTACACAATTCGAAACACAAATACTTGGTCTATTTAAAAGGTTAAATGTGTTGCACAGTTGGGAGAACTGCACATTTCCAAGACATAAAAGCCTGTTTCATAGATGGCAATAAACCACATCATACAGAACTGGTGAATGAAAAGACTCTCACTTAAAATAAAAAAAGAAAGAAAAGTAAATGGAAAACTCAGAAGCCGATTTTTAAAGGAAACTGTTCCTTTAAAAACCTATTCTCTGTTCCAACTCTGTACTTCTTTTCTGAGACAATTGAAGGAAAAAAAAGCCGACATCAATCAAGTTCATTTACAGTTGAAACTATTTTTCTTGCCACAGTTCAAATGTTCTGCATTCGAAATTAAAGGTTGCCAACCGGGCGCCGTCACATCCCGTTAAACCCTTGAGGAACAATAGCGCTGCACCATCCTGGCAGCTAAACCACATTAAACATGAATCTCATTACTTTTAACAAATGTTAGGTTGTATAGCAAATTAAAGTACATCTTAACACCTTTAGAAAAATCAAAAAGCAGCGCACTTTCTGTCACTTCTGTCCATCTATTCATGTTTCTATATATCTGTCCTTCTTGTTCTCCTATAGCTATTCACAGGAAGCCGAATTCATTTCCCCGCTGGCACAAGATGAAAGAACTGATACACCATGAATATATCAGAGAATTCACACAAGTACATACAGAAGTAGGTTTGTTCAAAAAACTCTCTTTTTCTAAACTTTTTATTATGAAATTGCTAAAAACAAAATTCATCAGAATTTTCTCCCGGTATTCCTCTGACACCAGAAAGAAAAGGAACCATCGTGGCACTGAAACAACTGTTGTAAAATAGGCAACAAGCATCAAAGAAACCCTGAATTACTATTCTGATTTAGAAAATTACATCAAATTTCCTCTTGTAAACGAGTCCTTTTAAGTTTCCATTAGAATAACTCAAGCGTCTGAAATCACCCCATGCCTCCTACATCATTTTTGCTCCGTTCTTCACTTGATTTTACCTTGCAGTAACAGAAAGAAAATCCTCCTCAACAATATTAAACGACATATTTCTTTGCCAACAGCGAGCTTGCATAATTCTGCTTGAGCACTTTAGCCATAATAGCTGTAATTGTAGGGAAATCCTGTAAGATATCTGAAGGTGAAATGTGTTTTAATGCACAGCTAAGGCTGAATAACCACCGTCTACAAAAACAGTGCATAAGTATATTTAATACGTACACCAACCGCTTTATTCGCTACACTTTCCTAATAACATTTTTGGACCCTCTTTAGCAGCCAGAACTGCATTAACTCTGCAACTACATATATATTGCATGCATCACTTATCACAGATTAATATTGGGTTGACAGACAGAAACGATATTGACATCTCGCTCGTCTTTTCTCTGTCAGAGGAAAGAGGAAGCTCCGGCTCCCCATGCTGAAGTGACCCTTTTCAGTCAGTCTTCAAAGGGAATTGACAGTGAAACGTTTTAATGGAGCAAAGAGCAGAAACAGATCGGACTAACACAAACAATCATGATCTCCACAAAAGAACACCATTTACTTAAGTAAAACTATGAATGCGAGTTGAGATTTGTTCCTATTTTTGTTTTTGGGCAACTGACTCAGTTTTAGAGTCACTTTTCTATACTTTTTTATTTATTTATTTTTTTGAACTACGTTTCAATCAAAGCAAACAAAAATGTACATTTTGTGCTTTTCTTTTAATTTAATAGTAAACAAATTTTTAAAAGCTTTCTGGAAAAGATTTATACATTTCTTGGAATAAATCAGCTTTTTAATAGTATTCTAATTTATTGAATGGGTCCTAGAAGTAGAGTTAAATACCACAATTAGTTTTCCTTTTAATTTACACCCTGGACATATTTCTAGTCCATCAAAAGGCACTTGAAAGACTCCGCACTTTGAAATGCACTTGGATCCCATTTCTAATACTTCATGGATTTCTCTTTTTTATCTCTTTGTTTTGTTTTTGATCTGCCTTTACTAAGACGACAAAAGGCGACTTTTATCAGCCACTTATGGGACGAGACACATCTGATATCTAAACATCCACTTTGAGATGAGCACCACATATTGTCACAGCAGTGCCAATATTATTACAATATTAGGTAATAATACTCAAAAAGTGGAAGTCTGACATAGAAAACCAGAGTTGTTCCTATATTTTACAGCGACGTCGACAAGAGCCACATTAAGCGGATAAACCAGTCCTTATGAATAATTGACTTCACTCTCCAGACACACAAGCAACAGCCGTCCACAAATAACAGATATGTAAGCTGACATCGCTAGATGTCTCCCATGAGCAACACCCACAAACGGCGCAAAGGCAATCACACAAAGAGCTAAATGGTTTACTGCAGAACATGAGCATTTCCTGTTCTGCGGTTTGAGCCGCTGCAATATACTGGATACCGACTCACTGTCGTCGATTTGTATATTTATGCCAGTATTTCCGTATTCGTGCGATTTCACAGTGACATCAGGGAGATTTGATTTTGTGGCATCGCAGAGATTTCTCAAGTGGAACACATTTCTAACCCAAATTCAGCCTCCTCATTCGTCCGAGCTGTATGAATCATGAAGGCGTATGGAACGTGATTTCTTGAGAAACACTGCAGAGAGGAGATCAAAATGTCTTCTCTCTTTTGCTCAACACAACATTTTAGCAGTTTGAAGGGACAGCATTGTGTAAAATCAACTTTTTTTGAGCTTTTTTTGAGTTGCAATGTTATTCCCTCATCAAAAACATACCTGAAATGTCGCTTTGATTTCTTCATGCATGTTTGAGAAATCCTTTAATTTCCCGTGGTTACCATTCAGCCGTGCAAAACTCCTGGTTGGACCTAGCCCCGCCTTCAAGATGCACTTCCTCCTCAAAGCTGAAGTTTCCGAGCTTCCGCCTCACAGACCAGCTCTCCTCTGTGTCTGCCCCACAATTCAGCTCCTTCAGACTAGCCAGCAGTGATTAGCAAACTGTACATCAGCTGAACTCATTACATGAGCTACTTCTCAGTGCAATAGTGGTAAAAACTTTGTTAAAGGGTGAATAGAGGAGCCATGTTGAGAAGACTTCCTGAAGGTGGAGTTTCAGAAAGAGCAGGAGTTTCTTAAAGAGACAGAGGCCCAATTCCCAGGTATTAAATTACAAAGTGAAATTTATTTTAAGTCATATTTATATATATACAGTTAGGGCCAGAAATATTTGGACAGTAACACAATTTTCGTGAGTTGGGCTCTGCATGCCACCGCATTGGATTTGAAATGAAACCTCTACAACAAAATTCAAGTGCAGATTGTAACGTTTAATTTAAAGGGTTGAACAAAAATATCTGATAGAAAATGTAGGAATTGTACATTTGTTTACAAACACTCCACATTTTAGGAGCTCAAAAGTAATTGGACATATAAACATAACCCAAACAAAAAAGTTTTTTCTCAATATTTTGTTGTGAATCCTTTGGAGGCAATCACTGCCTTAAGTCTGGAACCCATGGACATCACCAAATGCTGGGTTTCCTCCTTCTTAATGCTTTCCCAGGCCTTTACAGCCGCAGCCTTCAGGTCTTGCTTGTTAGTGGGTCTTTCCGTCTGAAGTCTGGATTTGAGCAAGTGAAATGCATGCTCAATTGGGTTAAGATCTGGTGATTGACTTGGCCATTGCAGAATATTCCACCTTTTTGCTCTCATGAACTCCTGGGTAGCTTTGGCTGTATGTTGGGGTCATTATCCATCTGTACTGTGAAGCGCCGTCCGATCAACTTTGCAGCATTTGGCTGAATCTGGGCTGACAGTATATCCCGGTACACTTCAGAATTCATCCGGCTACTCTTGTCTGCTGTTATGTCATCAATAAACACACGTGACCCAGTGCCATTGAAAGCCATGCATGCCCATGCCATCACGTTGCCTCCACCATGTTTACAGAGGATGTGGTGTGCCTTGGATCATGTGCCGTTCCCTTTCTTCTCCAAACTTTTTTCTTCCCATCATTCTGGTACAGGTTGATCTTTGTCTCATCTGTCCATAGAATACTTTTCCAGAACTGGGCTGGCGTCTTGAGGTGTTTTTGGGCAAATTTAACTCTGGCCTGTCTATTTTGGAATTGATGAATGGTTTGCATCTACATGTGAACCCTTTGTATTGCTTTCATGGAGTTTTCTCTTTACTGTTGACTTAGAGACAGATACACCTACTTCTCTGAGAGTGTTCTGGACTTCAGTTGATGTTGTGAACTGGTTCTTCTTCACCAAAGAAAGTATGCGGCGATCATCCACCACCGTTGTCTTCCGTGGACGCCCAGGCCTTTTTTGAGTTCCCAAGCTCACCAGTCAATTCCTTTTTCCTCAGAATGTACCCGACTGTTGATTTTGCTACTCCAAGCATGTCTGCTATCTCTCTGATGGATTTTTTCCTTTTTTTCAGCCTCAGGATGTTCTGCTTCACCTCAATTGAGAGCTCCTTTGACCGCATGTTGTCTGGTCACAGCAACAGCTTCCAATGCAAAACCACACACCTGGAAACAACCCAGACCTTTTAACTACTTACTTGATTACAGGTTAACGAGAGAAAGGCCATTTGAGTTAATTGCAGCCTTTAGAGTCCATTGTCCAATTACTTTTGGTCCCTTGAAAAAGAGGAGGCTCTGCATTACAGAGCTATGATTCCTAAATCCTTTCTCCGATTTGGATGTGGAAACTCTCATATTGCAGCTGGGAGTGTGCACTTTCAGCCCATACTATATATAAATTGTATTTCTGAACATATTTTTGTCAACAGCTAAAATAACAAAACCTGTGTCACTGTCCAAATATTTCTGGCCCTAACTGTAGTACTTTTTAAACTAGAGTTAACATAATACATGGTTGTGCTATGTAATTCTGTTTTAATTCTGTTTTATATATTTATGAATTGGCCCTTGTATGCTTTGTTTTTAATGTCGTCTATGTACTTTTATATTGTTCTGCACACTTGAAATGCCTGACAAAACAAGTAAAGGAACTGAACTGAGCTGAACAGGTGCTGAGTTCAACATAGTCAACATAAGTTGCTATAGAACCTCAAGTTTATTACTGCAGTAGAAAAAAAGCTATTAAAGAAAGTTAATGTCCACTGTACAAGTTTTAGTCACTTAACTGATCAGTTTAAAGTCAGTACAAGCTGCAGTTCAGGAGTTATCAGCGGCCACAGCTTCGGCTGATGAATGGCCTCCGGACCTAAAGTTGCTTATCTGACGCGATCCGAAATGGAGCGGTCAGGTGGCCTATTGCATGTCTGTGTTTACTTTCCAAATTTTCATGCTTGCAATGAGGAGATGACAGATCAGAGGGTGAGAAGAAAAATGAATCTTGAATACAGACACCATAGATTTTTCTCCAGCTTTGATAAATGAACTATTACATATTTTTGGATCTATTTTTAAGGGAAAGTCAGAGCTGGAAACCTGCTGCTCAAGTGGATGAAAGGTTTTGTTCAGACATTTTGTTATGCGCAACTTTATATAGAAGAGATTAAACTTTTTTTTAAATTATTTGTTAAATAAAAGGGCATATAAGATTGCGTTTCTACATCTTCAGGCCATTTTTTATGTGTTACAATGTCAAGAATTTGGGAATCTGTGGTTTCAAACATTAAAGTGAAATGTGACGTACAGCCTGTGTAGCTTCAAGCCAAACTGATGACAGACTCTGTATGAATTTTGAAATAACATCTAACATGCAACAATGGGAGATAAATTGTTACAGCCAGTCGCTTTTGGGTAAAAGTGTATTTTACTGTGATCTCCATTTCCCCTGCCTTGTCCGCGCCAAAATACAGGCGGTAATTTACTGTCTATATGGTCCTAAAGCTGTCAGACAGTTCTTATTTAGCTGAAATGGAGTGAGAGTGTGTTTGCCTGTTAACAATAAACAGAAATGGCTAATCTTGTTTAATTTGCAACAAGATATTTCTCCTATGTTATAAGTGAAATAATCTTCCAATGGAATTAGTACTTTCTCCATTAATATCAAGGAATTATTTACATGAAACAAGCTTCTTTATTTTGCTTGTAAGTTAATTTTATCGTGTTTCAAAACAACAAAGATATTTGCACGAGAAACTACACCAAAAACGCTTGGTAATGTTTTGTATTTTTGCAATGATATTTTCAGTTGTGTCGACTTCCATGTCATGTTTCTAGTTTCACATGTTTTACATCACAATGCAATATTATGAACCTGGCAAACTAAACAACACTTTATATATTTTATTATGTGGCAACAATGCAAGTTACTGTACCTTCTCAAGGTAATGAGCTACATTACATTTCATGTCCCTCAGGCACAGACCAGACAACAAAGTGACCGCATTTCCCTGGAGCTCGGTGATTAGCCATGCTGCGTAAAGAACTCTCCCTTACCTTGCGTCACATGTGAGATCCCAGGTGGAGAACTCATGGTCACTAAGGTTAGCGACAGCTGCAGAAGCTTTTGGCCAGAAGCCGAGACGTTTGATGGCGACCGGCTCGTGACCAGCCTCCAGTGAGGGCGAATGGCTGCAGCAGGTACCCATTCTTCACACAGAAGGAAATCAAAAAAAGCTATAAAATGTCCAGATGTTTGGTCTTTAACCACCTTCGTTGCATTTGCACATCTTCCACTTCCTAAAGATGTAATACTTCCACATTCAAGCAAGTCAGGAGATCTTATAAGAAGTGCTTCCTTTACATTTCATCAGTTGTTTTGTCGACTTCTCTCCAGTCAGAGTGGCTGATTTTGGAGTTGCCTGGCCCTGACAGCCTTTACCCTCCTCCTTACTCTGACAGAAGTCTTTCTGTCTCCCACCACCCTGCAGTCCACAACATTGTATAAACCATCTTGTTGTTTGTCTCAGTTGCTGTTTGTATTTGAGTCCTTCAATCCCTCCTTTGTGAGCGCCCTTTCAGAACCAAGTGTGGAACACAGACGGAGGCCGCACAATTTCCAATCCCAAGCTTCAGATACAGATGATCCAACATCAGTCATGTTGGCCTGAGAAAGACCGGTCAAACCTACGTCGTAACTGTGAGTGGGCTTGCTATGTAGAAAAATTCAACAAGTGTTCTCCATATTTCTCATTCCACGCTCCAAATTATAATTCCATGTCCTAAAGAAACACCTTAGGTTAATCTCAAAACCATTGTAGATTGAACTTAAAAGGACTTCCTCTACACTTTTGAACGCACATGTCCAACTGTTCAGTGTTTTGTTACTTTTTTCACAACTTGCTGTTCTCTTACAAGGAGCAAAATTCACAACAGGTGTTTGATTCGAGTATTGAAATGGTGTTTTAAACCGTCCTAATGATACTGTTCACACCAAACTATTCAAGACAACACCAAACAGCTGACCATATGTTTGTTTTCATTGCGAGGTCTCAAACAGTCTGTCTTCAGGTGGATGTCGTTGCCGAGCTTAAGAGTGTCAGAAGGTTGCAATATAGATATTTTCTAAAAAGTGGGAATGATGTTGATGGAAAGCATCGTTTTAATTTCCCTGTCTACCAAAGAACACAATGTACCCATGTTTCCAAATCAATAATTCTGTTGACATTTCAATAGATGCGTGGGAAACCTCTCTGTGTATTGTTTGTGGGGAGCAGCATTTATTTAAAGTACAATTTGTAACAGAAAGTTGACTTTTACAAAAATGTAAAGAGGTCTGCTCTATTTTTTTTCCACTCAGTTGGATTTTATAATTCACTTGGTACAGCCGCATAATGATTATTGGTTATGTGGAAACAAAAGGCAAACACTTAACTATGTTCCAAAAAAACTAGAAAATATGTTGATGATTATTGTGGTGGGCGATGTGAACTTAAAATGTTGTCATATTTTGTGGTATTTACTGTATCAACTATAAAAGTGATAATAAAAAAATAGGGAATTATGTGGAAAGAATACAAACTTTTTGAAATGGGTTTCTATACAAACATCTGTGATGTTTAAAAGTATGATTCTTGACTCTAAACCACACACAATTACTGCATTTAGCCATATTTTTGTATTTATTGATATTTGTTGAGGCTCATATGGATCCAAAAGAGGTGAATATTTCTATTTTGAAAAGAAATTTTCACAATGACAATGAAAAATATTGAATCCCCAATCAGATTGTAATTTATTAGGTGCTATTTTCTAATAGAGGAAATTATTAAATGTTTAGAATTTTTCAAAATACACTAAAACTAGATTTTTAAATACTGTAAGTACACATTATTATCTTAAATTATGGAGCAGTAAACTGAAATCGTTTGACATTCAGCACACCACCTCATTAGTTCTGATGTTAAAGGAAATCAACCGTTCAGACAAAAGTTTTCCTTGCTTTTTCAACTTCCAGTCCTTTATATTCCTAAAAATATCTGCCTGATGAATCCGTGATGTACTTAGTTTTTTCTGTTAGAATCTGTGAATTAATACTAAAGCCTCACGGCGAGGTTAAATATTCAAGACATCCATTTTCAGTCTGAAAATGGTTGACAGAGATGAACAACCATTCATGCGCCATACCAAAAAAAAAGAAGGATCAAAGAGTAATATTTATGTCTGCAACACAAAGGAGAAGAAGGAGAGAAAACAAGAGGCGGAGGGAGTAGCAGGAGAAAAAATGCATCAACTAGAACAGAGCATGAATGAGAGATGAAATATCAGCTACAGAGTGAGGCATTGTCAGAACAATACTCTTTGATGCACTAATGTTGCTGTGTGCAGAGGATCAAGACACACAGCACACCATCTATTCTGGACCTGCTGTTCTGGACTTATCTCCAAAACAGCAGGAGAGAAACAGTAAAGTAACCCTTCACACCCACATTAATCTAACCCGCAAGGTAAAAGCACCGTAATGACCTTCTCTACTCAGTGCTAATTAATCTAATAAGTCAAAATAAATATTTTGATTGTGACTCAAGAATAAAAGAGGAACTGCCCAAAGTATTTACAACTTCCAATATCACAGCAGTCGCCACTACATTGCTTATTTCAAACAACAAACTACATTCACCGGTCTCAAACTTCTACAGGAGGCTTGGTCCAACTAGTGTAACGTAGCCCTCATGTGTAACGGTGTTTACAGGACTTTTTCTGTAAATAGACTATTTTCTGTAGCGGACTAAAGCATATCATTTATTCTACAGATTTATTGTACTTCCCAGTCCATACATTCAACACTCAATGTGCATTTACAAGAAATAATAATTAAAATCTGTGAGAAGCAAAATCTTTGTGTGTGTTACACATGTAATAGTTACAATCTACTTGCGATTAAAGTATTTTTGACAGCAAAAATATGTTTTGTTTTTGTTTTTTAAGAATAAAAATGTACATGTTCCATGTTTCTTTCTGAGACATTGTCAAACATACTAAAATATAAACATGAAGATATGGATTTGTCAGAACACATATTTTAATGGGGTTTTCTTTTTACATGTAAGAGACATTGATAATATAAAGTCTTTAGATTTTAAGCCAAATGAGGAGTGATGTGCACTCTTCCTTTCAACTGTGTCCAGAGTCCACCTTTACTGCCACCACTTTTAGCCCACAGGGCCAATATGGCTCCCAGTTTCAGCAGGAGGTGACTTTGAAGTGAGCCAGTTAGAACCAGTCACTGGGGAGGGGGTGATGTGCTTACACTGAGTGGAATGGTGCATTCTTGGTTTGCGGTTTTAATGTTTTATATAAAATCATATAAACCTATTGCAACATGCTGCCCCCCATGAGCGGAGTAATTCTAGAATGTGAAGCCATTTGTCCTCAGAATGTTTTATATTTCACCAACCACGAAGGATAGAAGATTTAAAGTAAATTCAAGGATGTGTCTCCAAGGAATGAAGAGCCGTTATAAGAGAGATGTATAAAATATTTGTGCGGCTAAAGCAGCAGCAAGGTTGGAGTCATTTCACTGAAAATAGAATTTTGATCTGAAGTTTGTACTCTAAACTAAACTGGTTTTCTGTCTTCATACTCCCTGAAAATGCAGCAGGATGCCACAAGGGACAAGCGTAGCTCAAATATACCTCAACATCATGTTCTGTCAGAAGTTATAATTAGATGTAACTCTTCCACAACTTAAGCACATCTTTTGCTCCTGTCACGTTGATCCACCCAAAGTAACCAGACTGATTCAAAGAAAAAGACAGGCATGTAATTCCTGAATGACCAGGGTACACACCCCTAACTCCCTGAGGCAAGACTAGCACAAGCGACAAAACGAGCTAGCTTTAGCTGCTAATTATGTTATTAAAACAAAACGTGGTCAAACCGGTAAAAAGAAAAGTCTGAATGTGCGAAAACCATTTTTTCCTTACTCATTTATGACTCCACTAAGGGATATGCTGGCTAAGAAGAACCCCGCCAGGACTAAAATGAAACGCCACTGGATACAAACAAGCTAAGCTAATACCAGAACCATGTTACTAGATGTCACTCTAGAATTAGCCGGTGTTTTCAACGAGTACTAATGGCGCTACCAGCTTTTGTGGCTGGTATGCTACTGATTAATGTTAACTGTTCTTTAAATGAGCAGAATCGTGAATGCAATCATCTCTTGCACATGGTCCTACTGATGGACCGGTAGACATGGCTATATAGGGAAGCAAAGTTACAGCCTTTGTTACATTTTCAGCTGGTGAGGTTCGCTTTCACACTGTACTGTGTTAAACAAACCAAACCCTTTGAAAAGCCGGTCCCCCTCTTGGCCTGTGGTGGCACTGCACTAACAACTAAAAGAAACAATACAAAAACCACATAAAGAAGAAGAAGACATAAGCCCAATTTTCACCTTTGCAAAACTGCAAATGCAGCTCCATACAGTGTTTTACAGTAGTTAGCTCTGCCTTAATAATGGAGACATTGTTTTTTTTTCTTAATTATGAAATAGGAAGAAAATCCTGTTTCACAACAATTCCTCCTTCACAGATGAATATAATCTCTGCTTCTAACACATATAATAAATGACAGTTCACTCCAAAAAGTTTAAATAAATTAACATTTTCAGTACAAGAATAATTAAAATTAGTCCCAAACTGGTATCCAGAGATTGTAAATCTGTCACAAAAATCTGATCGGTGGATTTAAAATAAATATTTTTATTTACCGTTATGGTTAATTTAAGATAGCAGAAAAAGGAAACGCTGCAGACATCTGCTATTCAGTGGAATTTGTAAGCTTTACTGAGGAGGTTTTCCTTGCAGTTTTGTGTGTGGGTGTCTGTCTGTGTTTTGTTTGTTCATAAACACACAAACACATCCACGCATGGATACACAGAGCAGTTGATCAGCGAAAGAAGCTGACTAACTCTCTGCGGGTTTTCTGAATGAATCCAGTGAGTCATGGGGAAAGTAGGACTCTCTGTTCTGGTCTCGTCTCACCTGTTTCCTTTCTCCACCTGTTTCTTGAAATCTTAGTAAACACAGACAAATATTAGATATTCTGTCCTTCAGTCGTGGAGCCTGCCGTCTCATACTTGTCGATTCTTGGTTGGACCAATCAAATTCGCCCAGCTGACCCACGCATCACACTGATCAAGGCTCAAATCTTATGAAACTCTTCAATCAAAAAATAATGACCGGCTTGGGAATAAAGTCCATTTTTAGACGTGGGGATATATAACATTCATGCCTTCTTCCAGCTATAAAAGTAATGACACTGAATAAATCATATATTATCAAGTTTTATATTAAAGTGCCAGCAGCTTCATTCAGAATTAATGGCGACAAGTTTAATATTTGTTAATCACAGAGATAGAAACTCTGCCTTGATATTTAATTTATTTTGCCACGTTTTCTTAAATATCTCATTCCTCAGTGTGAAACGTGCTTCAGATAAGCACAAAATGTAGACAATTATTGGCATTACACATAACAATACTCAAAAAAACTAGATAAAATTTTCTGCATTAATTTTTCTGGGTTCATTTTACTTGTCAAAAGTTTCATTATGAAGTTTTAATTACTGGATCCTTCCATCAGGTGGCTGCAGCTCAGATTTATGTCACACAGAAGCAATTCAAAGTAGTTAGCAAGAAAAGTAAAAGAATAGAAATAAGAGCATCACTTTAAAAACATAAATTATAGTTAAAAATAACAGTAAAATGTATTGCATAAAGAGAAATGTCAAAATGGAAAATTTGAGCTGAAAAAAACCAATGACATTATAGAAAATCTGACAAAAACAATCAGAAATGGAAACATCCTCTAGTTTTTCCATGGAGAAATTCCACGTGATGTCTTGTTATTTGGATTTGTGAAATTGGTAAATTAACGTTGATAGGTAACTTTTCAATATGTTGTTTTGCCATAGGAAAGAAGTCAACGTCTCCAAGTGGTTCAAAGGAATATGAGCATTTTAGTGTACGAGATCCTTCAACGAGAAAAGCTTCTGCTTTCTAACTACTAGATGCAGATACTGCACCAAAAAATGTTGGAAATTTCTAAAATATTTCTTATTCATTGTTATTCACATAAATGAACTGACACCAAGAACTGAGGTAAGGATCATATTGACCTTTTGGCAATGTTTAATAGACCATAAAATACTAAAAAAAAATAAATAAATAAGCGAAACTAATAAAAAAGAATTCCTAGAATGTTTTGCAAGAGAAACTCATTTTGTGGTAAAACGTCTGGAAGGAGTGCCATCAAGCAAGCAAATCAAGCGCAAAAAAAGCAGCAGATTTAGTCATTGTCCTTGGGCTGACATTTCCACGCAATAATCTTTAACTTTCCTGCTGCTCAGAAAGAAAACACAGACAAAACTAGTTCACACCTTCAAACTGACGAAGCAACAAAAAAAGCTATTGTTGACAAAGCTGTCTCTTGCAGCCTTTATCTGTCTGCCAGGAAACCGTTGGTTCGTTGCTTTAGCCGCGGCTCCGCAGCTAAACAAAGCCTCCCTTTTTGCTTAAAGAACAAAGAGCGTCAGAAGACAGACACAAGCCAACCCCACGTTCTTCACACTAATACAATTCATCACTTTCTGTTCCAGGTTGACGGATTTTTAGAAAATGCTATTTTTGGGAATCGTAATCTACTATGAGATGCTGCTTTTTCTCCTTTAAGCTCACAAAGAAGAGTTACTGGTATACCGGGGCATCATGGATCTCTTTACAGTCAAATAGTGATAAAAAGTTACAGTGCATAACAAGGGGTACATAACACCGATCCACTATTTTCACTTCCAATGCCGATATCTGAGCTTTAGTATCGATCGATGCCCATCCAATACAGAAAAATAGTGCTGAATTTTTTTTTTTTTTTTTTTTGAGCACAGGCATAAATGTACATGAATAACAAATTAATTTGATAACTCTGCACCAATACAGAAAACTTAAATACACCAATAGCTTCACAATCTTGCTCAAACATGTGTAAACAACTCAACTTTAATCCCTTCAGACCCCATGTCCACTGGAATGGACATGGTATTTATGTGGGA